TGTACTTCACTATCACTAGCACTAATAGTGGGTCACAACCAGCCACCTACTGTACTAGAGTTTGCAATGTTATGGTATGACCAGTTAATCCTTACCTGCTAGAGAAATGTATTCTATTCAAGTGAGCAACAGACTCACCTCCACATCATGTCATTTCATCTGATTAATCACCTGACAGGTCTGGATGGAAGCAGGATCTCAGATCATCTTCTCCTACAGTTTGGCCAGAGGGACCTTACAGGTTTTAGGAAGTTATAATGACTATGAAAACAACTGTTACAAGTGAGCAAGGCTTTATTATAAAAATGTAAATAAAAAATGATGGCACACATATACACACACACTGTTTGACAGTGAAAGCAAACTATCATTTTCTTCAGAATAAAATCTACATAATTATTATGCTTAAGGCTCAGTAACATAATGTCGACAGTATTTTTTATGTCCTTGACATTTTTATACAGGGTTTAAAAATTGTATTTATTCATCAGTGACCAGATCTCTTGTGTGACTGTAATGTGTCTCTGTCTTTGTCCTCCACAGAGACTCTTTCTGGCTGTGTCTGTTGAACAGTGGGACCAGTTTCTTTGCAGGATTCGTGGTCTTCTCTGTTCTTGGATTCATGGCTCACAAAAAGGGAGTCACTGTTGACAAGGTTGCTGACTCAGGTAAATGTAAATATTTGAATTGAACTACCTTTCAAACTTGGCCTCATCACTATTTCCTCAACAAGAAAAACATACCCAAGCATCTCTGGTCACTGTCTGACTCCCAGGTCCAGGCTTGGCCTTCATTGTTTATCCTGAGGCCACAGCTATGATGCCTTTGCCTCAGTTCTGGAGCGTCTGCTTCTTCCTGATGCTCTTCTTCCTCAGCGTGGACACATTTGTAATTACATTCTACTCTGTATTTAGACTCGTAGTTTTTACAACACCGTCATCACACACTTTATTTGCCTGCAGTTTGTGTCGGTCAAGTGTTTTGTAACATCTGTAAGTGACCTATTTCCAAAACACCTGCGGGGACCAGGAAGGTCTGAGGTCTTTGTTCTTCTGGTCTGTTTGTTCTTCTTCCTCACACAACTAATTCTTGTCACCGAGGTGAGTAGAAATACTGTTTTTGTGTCTACCCTGCTACTACTTTCACTGTTGTTAACAACAATGTCATTGTTGTTATCTTACAGGGAGGAGTGTATGTATTCCATCTTATTGATTATTATGGTTCTACTGGGGCTTGTCAATATGTCATGATGTTGTTACAGTGTCTTGCTCTGGCCTGGGGCTTTGGTGAGCAAATGTGATTCTAAATTTGCATTGACTTGTTTGACATGAAATACAAGACAGTATACCCTGATAAAAAATCATCCAGTCTATAAATTTCCTAGGTTGTGAACGTGTTACTAACATCATTGGAGACATGACAGGTCACAGACCTGCTGTTTTTTTCTGCATCTGCTGGAAATACATCATTCCTGTGCTGTCACTGGTGAGAAAAATAAGGGCCAACTGAAAAAAATAGTTAAGATTGTACTGGAACTAAGTCATTTTTGATGCCTTATCATTCTGTCTGTGGTAAGTAATTTTTGATGCCTTATCATTCTGTCTGTGACAGTTAGCCTTAATCATGTACCTGGTCGGTTACATGCATCTCAAGTTTAATAACTGGTACAGTTACCCTGACTGGGCGTATGCTCTGGGGTTGTTGATGACCCTCTCCTCTGTTCTGATGGTGCCACTCTGGGCAGTTGGGCAGATGTGTGTGACACCAGGATCCTTTGTCCAGGTCAGTGTTTAGAAATGATTAATGGCCTAAACTCCAGAAATCCAGAAATCATCCATATCCCATCTTTTAGCCTCAGTTTTTTTTCCAACATCAAACACTGCAGTTAAAACCTCCTGCTGAGCCTCATGGACACTGATTTGATGCTAACTTAATATTAGAAACTGTATTATTATTATCCTTGCTGGGTTGTTTTTACTATTAATCCATCTTCCATTAGCTATGGGAGCTGCAGGTTAAAGTCATGGTGAGGAATTGTTGTCAAAAATTCAAAAACATTGTGTTTGAATGCTCTTATCATTCTTTCCTCCAGCGCTGCACGATTCTTACTCGTCCTGCTGAGGATCAAGCAATGCTAAGAAGAAACACTGCAGAAGGAGGTACAGCTGTGGAGCTGATGATGTCAGATGGAGTCATGACTTAATGTGACAGAAAATATTCCACTTTTAAAAATTACTTCACATTCACAGCTCATTTGGTGAATTAATAAAGTTGGTCAATTATCACATCTGTGCAACGAAAACTCTGAAAATACCTTGTTGTCTTAATCAAAATAATTATTGCTATTACTGTTGAATAACTATCCATTCAAGCCTGACTGCCCCCCGTGTGGCTCATTACCATATCCAGGGCTTTGCTTTACATAACTGTCAAATACCTTTTTTCTTTTTTTACCCAAATAAGCTCCAGACTAATTCTGACCAATTACAATGATCCTTTATTTGTCAGAACTCTGCAAAATCCCATCACCAACTGAAATGGTCTGTGAACCTCATCAACTGAAATTGTTCTCTTCAATAACAGAATAGAAAAGAAGTCACATTTCTGTCCAGAAACACTGCACGTCACCATTGATCTCCTCGGATTCAAAGTCAAATTTTGTCAGTTTCCTTGTGTTGCCAGGCCAACCTGTGGCTGAAAGCCTGTAATATTTAAGTCAATTCACAGTAAGTTGTTACTGTAGATGTCATTAGCTCCACAGCTGTTCCGTCCTCTCCTGTCATTCTTTTCTGTACGGCTGGCTCTTTAGCAGGGCGACAAAGGGTGTTCCAACGCTGCAGGACCCACCACATTCCCTGCGACCACCAGGAGATACTCAGTTTTACTGGCCCAATGACCTCTCTCTTCAACCATCGTCTTATTCTTTTCTGCCTCTGTTCTCTACTCACCTCTGAACTATGCTATTATGAATATTTTTCACTTTAAGTGCCTCTTTAAGTATCTCTGTGCATAATTATGCAAATGTGAAACAAGTGAGTCTACTAGACTGCACGAAAGGCCCATTGTAACACATACTGCTCCTCTGCACTGGAAATGATCACCTCTGTTAAGCCACACCCACTCATCAGTGTAACTCATTCCACTGACTCACCATCGCCTATCAGGCCAGTATTCCTCTAATACTCTTTGTCAGCACTTGTTTCTGGACTGATCTCCATCCACCGGTGGCTCGGTGGCTCAGTGGCATCCTGCCCTCTTCTTTCGCTGGCATGAGACTCACCTTACTTGTCCCATGTCAACGATTGTGGATCCTCACCCCCCTCTCACCTGAACCACTGTTCCATCTGTGCTCCACACATGCAGTGAATTTCACACATGGAGTGGACCTCCCCATTTCATCATGCCTTCAGCAGGCCTCTGCTCTGCTTCCTTCCTCCAACCCCAGCTCTTCACCCGACCTCTCCGGCGTGCCAACTGAGTGCTTCAATTTCTGCCAGGTCTTCAGTAAAGCTAAGGCCACATCTCTGCCCTCACATCATCCATATGACTGCACCGTAGACTTCCTACCTGGTACTTCACATCACAGTGCACATCGCCTGTGCTCTTTTTGTCCAAGTTAGGACATGGAAACCATCATTCAGCATTTTCCTGGGGTTTCCCTAGTCATACCTGTGACAATTTGTTCACATTTGCTGATTAGAAAAAGACACAGCCATCAGAGAGCTTCTCGCTCTCTACATCTTCTTCTAGATTTTTCTGCTGATTGCTCTCTACATCTTCTTCTAGATTTTTCTCTGTGTGCTTGCTACAAATTCCACATTGTACTCTACCTTTACTCTCGTGAGAGCTACCTATATGTCTTATGTTTATAGAGGAATGTGTTCCATGTACTACTTGAACTAAATGATAATTTTGTTTCATGACTAACCAATATTGCCTGCAGCTTTGTTTAGGAAAAAAGATAAATCAGCACGCAATATGACTGATGGTGCAGACAGCCGTCAAATTGTATTCACGATGAGGTCAAATACTGGATCAGTTATTCACCTGTTCCTTCGTTCATTCATCTCTCCTCCAAATTCTGCCCCGGGGGTTGAGATCAGTCCCAACAGTCACTGGCTGAGGGTGGGGTAGCACAATGGATTGTTTTTAATTCACATCCAAGGCCAATTTAGAATGACAAATTAACCTCATTCCTAATATGATTTTTGGCAGCCTTGATGGGGAACAGTTGCAAAACCTGTAAAGGAGTTTGAGCCTTAAATCAGCTCAAATTACTGGTGAACACCTTCCCTTTTCTTTACTCAGACCAACACACAATATACAGATGGTGAACAGTAGACAGTCGGGTCTGTGGGGAATTGTCACTCACTGAGAAAACAGTTAACACAGCAGCAGTGGTGGTGGTAGTACCACACCCTCTTACACACAAGTGGGCCAGTAGAACTGGTATTTAGTTGAGCCCTCAGCAGTCCAGCATGAAAAACGATAGCCCTCTGTGTTTCAGGGAGTGGTTAGAAAATGTATTAAGCAGCCATTTGTGGTGAACCAGGGGGTTTATGCTCCCTCATGGCATCTGTGGAGTGAGGTCAGACGTATTGCTGTTTCTATTTGGGACAGCATGGTGAACTCACAGCTGTAGTTCCTACAGCAGCTGAGTCACAGTGGACTCTCACACGGACCGTTTCCTCCACTGGGGCGTGACAGTTACTTTGCAGTGCTGCTAATATTTTCCCACACGTTCCAAGAATTGAAAAAGCCTTTTGAGTGAGGTGTGAAACATCCGTGAAAATCTCTGAAGCAAGTCCATCAGCCCACATCTTGATTTTCTATAAATAACCTGTACGTTATCTCTAGTGTTGGTCAACTTAGTGGTTCATTTAGGTTTTAAAGAGGTTCAAACAGCATGGAACAATTTATCTTTATATGTTTTTATTTGTGGTATAAAACATGAATGTGGGATTTTTATATAAATTAACAAGCTGAACAGTTTTTCCCATAAAACGTTTTTTGAGGAGACCTTTGTTTAAACGCAATTTACTAACCCCTGTACAAGAAATGTGGCAGGTGAAAACATATACAACATATCTTGACTTTTTTACAGCTGATAATACTGCCCTGTCCTGCCCTGTCTTTGCCAACCTTTGATCTGCAAATGCGAGAATTTCATCTGCCTTTGATCAGTGAAAAAGCAGATCCTACCCTGACCAAAGACAGTGGCATAAAAGGAAATAGAAGAAGCTATGAATGATTAAATCCACAAGATAATAGATTAGACGTAGACTGAGGAACAAACTGGATAATACTGTTATGAGTTTTCAAGTTATGGAGGATAATAGTGCCCAGAAACCATTACCTAGTCTGTCAGAAACAACAGGAGTGAAGAGAGAAGACACAGAGGTGGCAGGGTAAACAGACTGCTGTAATCCACCCTACTACGCCTTCACTCCCCGTCGACCCCCGCTCCCTCCCCATTAGACAGCTCTCTGACATTACACCACTTGTGTAAAAAAAACCCACTACAATTTAACTTGTCCGTCCTAAAATTTAAGTGAAATTCACAAGGAAAACACAAGCATAAACAAAAGACTAAACATTTGGCATGACAGTAAGGTATTTCATTTTGGTTTTTAAAAGAGACTTAAGAACACAGTGGTAGATGTCACTGGAATGCAAAACATCAGCTTCACAGCATTCCTAGAATGTACTCTGGTTAGCCAACATTTCCAAAAAGGAAAATTGTATAATTAAAAAAAAAAGTCTTGTTTAAATAATTAAAATATGTTAACATGTCTCCAACAGCACAGGGGAGTTTCTTCACCATATATTTAATTGGTCAGATTTTAATTTAACCCTCAAAAATGAAGCATTTTAAATCAGAGCAAACTTGCAAATTTTAACTTGCCTTCATGATGTGTGTGTGTGTGTGTAATAGATTATGTAACGCAACTATAACTGTACTCATTAACATTTTTAATTACTTTTACTTACTTACTTTTTAATTTCCTAAGAGTGTGTTGATGAATAGAGGACGATGCTTTTAATTTCCTAATAGTGTGTTGATGAATAGAGGACGATGCTGTAGCAGGGTTTGTTCTTCCACAGTGGGAAGGGGAGCGCCGAGGTGACGTCATAGTTATCCACATCCACAGCAGCGGGAGGAGGAAGAGGAGGAGTGAGTCGTACAGCCGCTCATCCACCGGTGTCATGGCTTCCTAACAGGAGCAGGAACCGACTGAGAGCAAAACAAGCGTTTTCTGTTGAATGCTCCCACACTTTAGGCTCCACATTTCCAGCACCCGTGGTTGGGACAGAGGGGCCCAGCCTCTCTTTTCACTCCCCCTCGTCATCTGCAATCCAGGATATACTTTTAATAACAAGATTTTATTGGTGAATTTCCATTCGCGAACGGCGGAAGATGGCCGACCCGGCGGAGTGCACCATCAAAGTGATGTGCCGTTTTAGGCCCCTGAACAGCTCCGAGGTGACCAGAGGGGATCGATACATTCCCAAGTTCCAAGGGGAAGATACAGTCATTATCGCGGTGAGTAAATTCTTTTGTTATTTTCCCACCGTGAGCCTGAGGGACACAGCCCTGCGGCTCTGTCTGCTATACGCCATTTTTATTGTCTTGTGGCTACCGTAGTTAGCACCTTAGCCTGTGAGCTAATGTTAGCTCTGAGCTGACCTGTCCACTGCGTCGGCTGTGGCTATGGTCTGCCGCCGCCCATGTTTTTAAAATGTAAAAAATATTTTACACCTTACTCCTAGTTTCGTAATTTCAAGGTCCGTTAACAGCACTTTTTATCGTCCACCTTTAAAGCGTCTGATTATCATGTCTGGAAACTGTCAGTATTCGCAGTTTCCCTGTCACTGCTCAAGAGCTGTCATTTAACAAAGCCACAGTCACATCGGCTGCTTCAAACTACTGGTCATCCTGTACATCATGACTTTATTTCTGTTGTCGTGGTTTCGCCTCATTACTAAACTGCTTGACGTATTTTCATTAATGTAATATTTAAAACCATGTTGCGTCTGCGTGAAGCCCAAGCTTTAATTTAATGGATGCTTCAGAAGCTAGGCCAGCTGGTAGTTGACAGATTAGCCGGCCTCGGGTAGCACTAGCTACATTTAATACAATGCTTAATTAAAGCTTACATTATCGAGTTGACCAGGTGGCTTTATAACCGTACCCCCTAACTAATTGAATATATTGATCCCACTATTAAAACTAAACAAGTGATACATAACTTAATATAAAACCGTCCATAAGATGATGTGAACGTATTGTGGATGACATAAATCATACAAATTGCCTTGATCCAGATGCAAAACAACATCCCAGAAACTATAATAGGCAGAAGAAGGGGAAAAAACACTCCACAACGGTTGGATCCATCTTTCAGGAGGGGGAACCCTCCAGTAGATCATTTCTTTAGTCAACACACAGTGACAATAAAGGTTACATTTTGTTGTTGTTTACGTACTATCCATCCATCCATCCATTTTCATCCGCTTATCCGTTGCCGGGTCGCTGGGGCAGCAGTCGCCACCCAAATCACATTGCACCGTACCAACCCCCCTGAACCTTCCTGCGGGTGGTGAGTCCACTGGAAGGTACCAACTGCCCTAACTGGGATTCGAACTTGCCCAGGAGGTGAACCCTGGGGTTCCACACCAATGACAGAGACATTGCCTCTGGGCCAAAGCGCCACTGTTTACGTACTATGGTAATCCTAATAAGCTTTGGAATAGTAGTGGTTGTACGTTTGAATGATGCATTCAAGTATGCCCTGAATTGATAGTGTGCTATATTTCTTTTGTAAATTATGTGAATCAGAAGTTAAAATTAAAGCAAGAAGAACCACACTTTTGTCTTTTTTGTCAGTGGTTAAACATGCCTCTCATTCCTGTGACTTTAAGACCCATCTTCAAACACCCATATAACATGGTGGACATTGTACTTTTCCTTGACTACTTCCTCCTTCGTGTACTTACGTGCTTACTATCAGCCACTGTTCAAACAAATTATACTGAATTTTCATTTTCAAGTTTTTGATTTTGTAGTAGCTTAGTAAAATGCAAAGCACTACTGTATAACAAAATCATTCACTCTACTTTCTTATAGTGTTATAAACATAGGGGACTTTGGCCCTGTAACACCTGCCTTTGCTATGATTTTTATCAAGTCCCTTATCGGGTTGGGGGGGGCAGCAGTCGCCACCCAAATCACATTGCACCATACCAACCCCCCTGAACCTTCCTGTGGGTGGTGGGTCCACTAAAAGGTATTAACCACCCTAACCGGGATTCGAACTTGCGCAGGAGGTGAACCCTGGGGTTCCACACCAATGACAGAGACATTGCCTCTGGGCCAAAGCGCCACTGATGAGAACATATTAAAATTTAACATAAGTAGAAAGTGCCTTATCTAATGACACTGAATTGACAAAGAATGTGACACTGAGTTCAGCGTTGGATGAAATGCTTGTCATGCTAAGTCATCCTGACCCTATACATTATCTTTTAAAAGAGGAACCATATGCACAACTTGGTCATTGTCTCTGCAACAGAGCTGTAGGGCAGGACTAAAAAATATATTAGCTTGAAGTTTGGTTCAGTTTTATTCCTTACATAACGGCAATCAGAAACATAACTGCTGACACATATCAAGTTGCTGCATGTTAAAGGTGCAAAACTGCACAGCACAAAAGCATGACTGGTTAACCATTACTTTTTTTTCCTGAACAACAGTCTATCTTTCTCTCTGTGGACTTTGTTGTTCTTTTTGTATTCAAGTGCATCTTTGAAAGACAATATGGAGCTGTAGAAAACGGTCTTCAGTTTCATTCATGAAAGAGATATGAATCACATCCTTTTCAGAGTTAAACTGCTTGACACTATATGGTGATGTATTCTCAACACAACAGCAGTTGCAAATGCAAACAGAGAGGTCTATTAATGCTGTGAGAACTTCTTCAATGGCCACACAGACAATGACTTCAGGCCAACAGCTCATAGAAACCAGGCTGCCCCTGCCCATGAGACAATGCGGCCCTGCCCAGTTCAAAATCCTGGTCAGATGCAGTGCCAGAATGCCATTGCTGTTGCTGAGATCCACAAGTGTTACAGCTAGGATCATGATTGCTCATTCTGGTGCATCTGCTGTGAGAGGTACAACACTTACTGTGCCCATGAGCAGCAGCCCAGGCCTCCTGGGTAATCCTGTGTTTTTCTCCTGGTTACCAGCTGTGCGACCAATCGGAGCAGGCACTCAAACTGCTGCTGGGAAATCTCTGCGGATGAGGAGTATTATTATTATGATCTTGATGATGCTCATTGTTTTGCAGTAATGTTGCTGGCACTTGGCTCATCAAACTAATGTATTTATGTTGTAGATCATTTAAAGATTTCAGCCCACCTTTCAGGAGGCCAACTTTGCTGTCATCTGTGCTGTAGCATATAAATCATCTTTGGATGTCCTAATACTTTAGACAATTAGACATTAATAGAAAGGTTTGCATTATTTCAGGCCAACTGTGTACCTGTAAGGAAGCATGAATACGGTTGTAATACTATAAATACTTTGGAAAAGTGACCTATTTTCCTCAGCAACACAAACCCACACAGACTTCATGCATTCATATCAGACTTGTGGGAATGCTAGATTGCTGTGGACTTTGTCATAGCAAAGCTGTCACCATGAACATGACAAAGCAGTCATGAATCTTCTACACGTGCATTTTATTATAATTGGATTTTTAGCAAGTAATCCCATTACGGAGAGTCGTAGGTAAGGAAGCCAGTGGCAGCAATAACAATAGGGTCTTTAAAACCTGGGCTTCACTATTGTTTGCTGAGAGTGTCTGGCAGAGCAGATAGTGGCTCCAAGCTCATGTTTTTGCAAGCCTTAATTGTTAGGCTGTAGGCTGTTGAAGTGAATTATCAATGTCATTAGATTCTACACCGCTACACTCTGTCGAACCGAGCTGTACGACAGATGAGACATCTGTCAAGGAGGGTATTATCACATAGGCAGGATTCTCTGCTGTAGTTGTAGGAATAAATCTTCCACTGCCTAAGCCTCTGTTGGCAGACAGTAAGATATGTTTGTTGTCGCTGCTATGTTTACATGCATTATTAGTCTGAATGAGTCTGTGCGCCAGTCAGCGATGTCTCGAGGGTGTCACCAGCCACTTGTCAACATTCTCTGTTACATTCCCTGCCTCTTGTTACAATCACAGGTGTTTACTTCAGACCTATCCATCTACAGCTGCTGCTGCTTAGGCATGTGTGTTTTGCAAACTAAAGCATTAAATGTTAGCAGGAGGGCTGTCTTGGCCTGAAACTACCAATACATTACTAACAGGTCCCCACCCATCTGACTGGAGATGAGTCAGCTGTGAAACCAAACCTCTGAACATGGCCGTCCAAGCAGAACCTCACAATAGTGTATGGCGTTGTTTGTATTTAATGCCCTGACATTACACATCGTTAAGTCCAGCGATTGATTGCTGTATTACTTACATTTGGCCCGGAAGTGTTTGCCAAGTCCTGAAACAGACTGGCATTTAAGTGAGAGATAAAAGTGCAGTGTCTAGTTTTTTCACAGCAAATAGGGTACTGAGATGGTTGGTGGGATGTTCATGTCGGACGAAATAGACACAGAAAAATGTCAGACATATATATAGACATATATGTACACACTTAAGTATGACAACGCCGTCTGTGGCTCTGGCTCATCCTCCTTCCTCTCCTTGTATTTCAGAGTAAACCCTACATGTTTGACAGAGTGTTTCAGTCAAATACCTCACAGGAACAAGTGTACAACGCCTGCGCCCAGAAGATTGTAAAAGGTGATGTATTTATTTGTATCAGCATGTTTACTGTCTGGATTCTCTACATAAAGACAAGTGAAAATACAGCAGTTGTGTCACTGTGGGATTTCTGTATGAACAAGGACTATTTGTTTCTCTTTAGATGTTCTGGAGGGATACAACGGAACCATTTTTGCATATGGACAGACTTCGTCTGGTAAAACACACACCATGGAGGTAAGAACTGACCTAAGAATGTCAGAAACACGTGATGAATGTGTCAGAATAAGCAGACTATTGTTGCCTCTTTGTTCACAGGGGAACCTTCATGACACAGATTCAATGGGAATCATCCCCCGGATAGTTCAAGACATTTTCAACTACATCTATTCAATGGACGAAAACCTGGAGTTTCATATCAAAGTAAGTTGATAATGGAGTTTTAGCCTATCTTAGCTTATCCCTTCCCTATTCTTCCTACTATGTTAAACTTATTCACATGTGCTTTTAATAAATTCTGGAAGAAAAATACTGTTGATGCTTCCATATGACTAATCAAATACCCTATTACTTCTCACAGACTGATGATTTTTTAGATTTGTCTCTAGAAATAATAATTTATGTCCCTCTGTTTTCCAGGTTTCATATTTTGAAATCTACTTAGACAAGATCCGAGACCTTTTGGATGGTGAGCGACAGAATAAGAACATTTTTCTTTCTCCCTGTAATTATACCAGATAGTGGTGAAATATTAAACTATGCTAGATGTTAATTACCTGCCAAGACTAAGACTCCATGATGTAATTAGTAATTAGTGTCTTCACTAACACATGTCCCTTGACCTTAGTTATCTCTGAAGGTTACAGCTCTCAGATCTGATGCTCAGGTTGATTTTGTCTCCTTTTCACTTCCAAAGTTACAGCGTTGCTGCTTCAGCTCAAAGACAATACAAAGTCTTGTGCATTTGTGCTGACATGGTGTCGCATCATTTAAGATCTTGCACCTGTGTCTTCACCATCCACTTCTGTCACTGTACAAAGCCATAGGTTGCAGTTCTGGGGGTTTGTTTTTTCTGCTCTTCTGTCACAAACACACACCACCTCCTGCTTACCTCGGTGATTCATCTCGAGCGATTACTCACGCTGCATAAAAATTAATTGGCCTTTCTTAAATTGGCTGATTCAATGAAAGGCAATGTTTACTGTGAACAAACAGACTGTTTGTTGTTAGACTAATATAAACGACTGTAGATGTTTACTGTGAACAAACAGACTGTTGTTAGACTAATATAAACGACTGTATGCACAGAGTAATGACTGACTCATTAAAACAACTTCAACATGAAAACATTTAGGCCAGTCTTTGGTCTCGGCTTATAATTCTACTATTACACATCTACAAATCTGAATTTAAAAAAATGTATTACAAAAAGACCAGAATATTCCCTGGTCATGATGATAGAACATGCCTTTTTCAGTCCATACGAACCTGCTGACTGCAAGGATTTCATGTTAAATCTGCAAATCTAGTAACAGCGACTGAATTTTAGCAGTAATTTCCTGCTAGGAAATGGACTTCCTTCTGGAAAATCCTCCAGAGTCCATTTGAAAGGTGTTGCCGGAAACTGGCAGTTACTGTATCTTTGGTCACCATATTTCTTCTTTGCATTACTTTTGAAAATCAGTCAAGTGTGTGAGAAGAACCGTGACAGCAGTTTTATTTTTCAAACAGAGTTAAGTTTAGCACCTGCAAACAGGTTCCTAGTCAAACAGAATTCAAGTGTAAATGGTCCATGGACAAAGAACATATATATATGACAATGTGCACTGTGTTTTTGACCTGTTGTTCCTTTTATTTTCCAGTGTCAAAGACTAATTTATCCGTGCATGAAGACAAAAACAGAGTACCCTACGTCAAGGTTGGCCCTTTTACTGCAGTCACCAGTTAAACATCTGGTCAAACCTGTCAGGTCAGCACATTTCTCTTACCTTCTTTCTGTCCTTTTTGTGTTTTTTTCTTTTTGTTTTTTAAAGGGCTGCACTGAGAGGTTTGTCTGCAGCCCAGATGAAGTCATGGATACCATTGATGAAGGCAAATCAAACAGACATGTAGCAGTTACAAGTAAGAAAACAGGACCGACTTCTGCCACTACAGTCTGTGACAGAAACGTACAGGGTTTGTTCTGACACATGGATGTCTCCTGTCTTGTAGACATGAACGAACACAGCTCCAGGAGTCACAGCATCTTCCTGATCAACGTCAAACAGGAGAACACACAGACAGAGCAGAAGCTCAGTGGTAAACTCTACCTAGTGGATCTGGCTGGTAGTGAAAAGGTAGGAGATGTTGGAAAGAGAGCACAGCCACTATTCTTGGTATCATCAGACGTGTCTATTTTAGTGACGGGAGCAGACCCATTTTATTTTTATTCATTCCTCTCCTCTACACCTTTGGAAGTGCTGATGTTGTTATTTGTGTTTTTTCCAGGTCAGTAAAACAGGAGCAGAAGGAGCTGTGCTGGATGAAGCTAAGAACATTAACAAGTCACTGTCATCCCTGGGGAACGTCATCTCTGCTCTGGCTGAAGGAACGGTCAGTAATGACCTGTTCTCACCCAAGTGTTGGTTAATGGTTGTCTGTTGGTGACCTACATGACATTAAAGGAGCCGTCTGTGTCGAAGTGTGGTCATGATGTGAAGTTGTTTCATATGGTCGGAGATCAACTTGTCACTGTCAAATATATAATGACCTTTCAGATCACTTTTAGAGCCACTCTGTCAACTGCATAATCTCAAGTGTCTTTCAACAATGAATGGAAGGTTTGAAAATACAATTAAAAAAATACTTCACCAGCACATAATGGGAATATAATTTGAGTTTAGTATAAAGGGCTAAAATACTTCACCAGCACATAATGGGAAGGCTATAGAAAAAGGTGACAGGATCCTCGGACATATTCAAAACTAAAAAAAACAAACAAATGTTCCAGTGCAGACGAAGGGAAAAACAAACAAATGTTCCAGTGCAGACATTGCTCTGGGATTTCGACCTCCAAGTTGGTCATATTACATTAGTCAGCATTGTTCCCACAGAACACCAACATTCACATCTGCCACACGGAGAGTCAAATGTTTCTCATCTTAAAGTGCAGCTTGTGATTTGCAAGATCCAGTTCTGTCATCACGCAAAAGGTCAATGAGCAGCAGTCCCATTGATGCCTTCACTGGTGGACGTTAGTTCTCAGCCCTTCAGCTTGAATCTTTACCATTGTTCCTATTGAACTCTCATATGTTTTCTCCCATCTGAATGATCCATCCTGACCTCAGGTGATCGTTTTCCCGAAATGTTAATTAAGCAGCACTTTGAAGTTGAGGACCTGATGTGAAGTTGCTGATGCAGTGAGAGTGCCTAGTTATCAGCTCCACAGTCTGAGTGAGGGGTGCATGAAAGCTATCTGTGGTTCCTCTCGTTGGTGCAGATACCATTTTACCCTGAAGCACTGTTTAGCTTTTGCAGTTTGTTACCAATTACACACTTTGGTTGATCAATGATTGGTTTGTTCTGGCCACCGTCGGCTTGTAAACAACCGTAGGCAGACAGCTGCTGATATATTTGTGCTGGTTCTAAACAGATAAGCTATTGTATAGTGACTGAGGGTTCTGGTCTTATCAGAACTAAAGCACACCGCTGCTGGCTCAGCTCATAGTTTCACATTAACAAGTCAGATGTGTCAAGGTACCTTGATCGTCGCCAAGCTTTAGCATTGTTTACAAAAAATGGATGAAAAAGTTGAAAAGGAGACTTCTGTTGATCTAACCATCACAGTGCAGAGGCATGTTGAAAAGGAAACTTCTGTTTGACTGATCTAACCATCACAGTGCAGAGGCATCGGTACGATATATTGTGTTCTTCTCCATTAACACTCTGTGACGGTGTGTGTGTGTGGTTGCCAGGCCTACATCCCATACAGAGACAGCAAGATGACCCGTATCCTACAGGACTCGTTGGGTGGGAACTGTCGGACCACCATCGTTATCTGCTGCTCTCCTTCCTCCTATAACGAGGCTGAAACCAAATCCACTCTCATGTTTGGACAGAGGTAAATAGACCCAGTTCCTAAAGATGATATTACCAGGAGACTATTACCAGGAATTACATGTAATACCAAATGCACATAGTGGATTATAGAAGTTTTTTTTTCCAGCTTCACTTTAGTCCTTGTTACAATACCTCAGGTAGCCATCAACCATGGGCACATTTAATTAGTTAGTTATAATTTTATTTTTCCCCTCACACAGAGCTAAGACTATTAAGAACACAGTGACAGTGAACATTGAGCTCACAGCAGAGCAGTGGAAGCAGAAGTACGAGAGAGAAAAGGAGAGGAACAAGACCCTGAGGAACACCATCACCTGGTTGGAGAATGAGCTCAACCGCTGGAGGAATGGTAAAGATACAGTTCTGCTGGTTGTTACTGATTTATAGTCTTTTTTTTTTACCAGACCATTTTTTAAAATTATAATCTGATGTACCACCTCAGGTGAGAGTGTCCCAGTGGAGGAGCAGTTTGATAAGGAGAAGGCCAACGCTGAGGTTCTGGCTCTGGACAACATAATCAACGACAAGCCTGTGTCTACGCCTAACGTTCCCGGTGTTCGCCTCACTGATGTGGAGAAGGACAAGTGTGAGGCCGAGCTGGCCAAACTTTACAAACAGCTGGACGATAAGGTGAGACCTGGGGAAAGACGCTCCCACAGGAGTTTCTGCTTGTTTCATTCTTTTATAATGAATGAATGTTGCTTCAATAGTCCAATAGTTGTTTCAGATGTATTAGCTAATGCTAACGTACTCCTTTACACACAACAGGATGAGGAGATCAACCAGCAAAGCCAGCTGGCAGAGAAGCTGAAGCAGCAGATGCTGGACCAGGATGAGGTGAGTCCTGGTAGTGCTGTGGAGGAGTAGAGGAGCAATGTGAGCCAGGTGGTACTGCTCCTCCATCACTGCTGTCAGAGAAAGACAGATTTACTGTCGTTAAACTGTCGTGTTAAGGAGACTTGTTTGACCTTATTTTATATTATTTTTTTGGACATGTGACAGCACCGGCAGCGGGTCTTGTGCCTGATGATGGTATATTTAACCTGTTTTTAGTGTGTGTGTTGACTGTCATCTCGTTGGAACAGTTCTGGCATAATTAATTATCTATGCTGCTCGCAGTTTCCTTTTTTCTTTTCTTTTTTTTTTTTAAACAGACATGCCAGAGGGCTAACGTTGGATTAACAACTCATTAATACAAAGCACCTTTTCAAACAAGTCCAAATTATAATGCAGGCATCTAGTAATTGCTGCAGTGCTAATGGAGTTGAAGTTAAACTCCTGCTTTCTGTTTGCAGCTCCTCGCCTCCTCCCGCCGCGATCACGAGAACTTGCAGGCTGAGTTGAACCGCCTCCAGGCAGAGAACGAGGCCTCCAAGGAGGAGGTTAAGGAGGTGTTGCAGGCTCTGGAGGAGCTGGCCGTCAACTACGACCAGAAGAGTCAGGAGGTGGAGGACAAGACCAAGGAATTTGAGGCCATTAGCGAGGAGCTGAGCCAGAAATCGGTAACGATGCCAAACATTGTCGTGACTGTGACAGACATGCACATCTGTAATAAGACCTGTACAACCTGGAATGATGAATAATAATGTTTCTTAAAACATATCTATATAATATTTATATATATTTAAATACAGTGGGTGGGGTGAGAGGTGTACAGAGAGAGAGAGAGGTTATACAGCATGGAGATTTCCTCAAGTGTTGATTTATTTTAATACTAAAGTCAGACCAACACCTCTGTAATAGTAAAGACTAAAGTTAGACCAAAAAAAAGACAAAAATTTGTTTAAATCATGCTACAAACAAATGGCTATAATATGTATAAAAATTACACAACAGTAATGTAAAGGGAAAATAAAAGTAAAGAGCAAAAGTTTAAAAAAACTAATGAAGGAATTAATTTTATATTTTACTAATGTTACATTTGTTGTTGTTCCTTTCAGTCTGTCCTGTCGTCTCTGGACTCTGAGCTGCAGAAACTGAAGGAAATGTCCAACCACCAGAAGAAGAGAATGACCGAGATGATGTCATCTCTGCTCAAAGATTTAGCTGAGATTGGAATCGCAGTTGGCAGCAACGACATCAAGGTATGTGTAAAACAGTTGTCACGTCCGTAGCCACACACTGTCCTGTCAGAGAGCCTGCACAGAATCAAACCGCCACAAACGCCATTGTGTGGCTGCTCTTTTCTTCAAAGCAGCACGATGGCGGGAGCGGTCTGATTGACGAGGAGTTCACGGTCGCTCGTCTGTACATCAGCAAATTGAAGAGTGAAGTGAAGACGATGGTGAAACGCTGCAAACAGCTGGAGAACACCCAGTCAGAGAGCAACAAGAAGATGGACGAGAACGAGAAGGAGCTGGCTGCCTGCCAGCTGCGCATCTCCCAGGTAGCTGAGCCTCTGCGGCTTCATAACATTAATAAACATTGTCTTTATTGTTGTCATAAAAACAGGTTTCTAACATCCCTGCTGTTCTCCTTTCTCCAGCACGAGGCTAAGATCAAGTCCCTGAGTGAGTACCTGCAGAACGTGGAGCAGAAGAAGAGGCAGCTGGAGGAGAATGTGGATTCGCTCAATGAAGAACTTGTCAAGCTCAGCGCTCAGGGTAAGTGTTCCTTCGATGAGCAGAGCTCCAGCATCGTACACAGGACTGTGATCAGAACCAGAAGAGTTGAAGTAACAGGAAATGAGCAGGTGTTGAACTGCAGTGTCTAGACCAGGCAGTACTTACCAGATCCACAAATCCAGCCCAGACCAGTGCAGGTTCAGAACCAAATCATACGCAGTCAGCTGTTCAGATTTGTTCTAGATGTTAGTCCGGTGGTTGACACGGATGAGTCGTCAGCAGTGAACAGAGGTGTCTCTGTGCGATGAAGGTGGTGGAAAATTAGACAGACTTTATATTTAAACCACGTTAAATAGGTGAGGCAAGTCTGTTTATATACAGCACCGTTTGGAATAAAAATGTCTTTATAGAACAGAAGATGAAAAAAACCTGTGTGAAATTCCAAGCTGTTCCACTTTCACTGCTCCCACAGTGAAAACCATTGAATCTGAGCTGGCTTTAAAATCTGTAGAATATCACCAATGATTTGGTAAAAACTTGTTGTAGTCAGTGAAGTACTGTAAAAAAAAAACAAAAACAGGTCAGGTCTATAGAAACTGTCTGCACTTTGGCCTGTTATTGATTTCACTTATGTAATAAGTCTGAGACAGTGGAAGACCTGGTGTGAGTCTAATAAATAAGTTAGCTCAGAACCTTACTGAGGAGCTAGACCTTGATGTACTTCCAAGACTAGCGGCAGTACTTTATGAGAATCCTGTGAAGTGAGTGTACTGTAGGAGGAATGTGTTGAAGTGTTTTTGTCTCTGTGAGTTGATTCTAAATAAACTAGTCTGATTATTCGGTCATTTAGAAACATGCAAAGTCCAATCTGGTAATTGTATGCTTTATGTATTAATCTTTTTTAATACGTTTGCTGTGGAAACTTGAAAAACTCTGATTGTGAATCATGTGTTTTACAGAGAAAGTTCATGCCATGGAGAAGGAGAACGAGATCCAGACGGCCAATGAAGTCAAGGTTGGTGCTGCTGCTTCAGTTCACAGAACAAACTCTATAAAGAACCTCAGTTATTGTCCGCTAGAACATCAAACGCTATCAAACTGAACACAGGCAACATTTTATTTTCCAATTCACTCTGTTAGTGTGAATTGGAACTTTATAAACCTGTGTGTGTGTTTGTGTCTGTTATCAGGAAGCTGTGGAGAAGCAGATCCATTCCCACCGCGAGGCTCATCAGAAACAGATCAGCAGCCTGAGAGACGAGCTGGACACCAAGGAGAAGCTGATCACCGAGCTGCAGGAGTAAGAAGTCACCCTCCTCTGTGATAACGGTGCAGCGGAGGCTGTGATTGTGTCATTGATCGTGTTGAACACCGTGGAATGTTTTTTTCTACATTTTAGTCAAAACCAGAAGATCATGCTGGAGCAAGAGAGGCTAAGGGTGGAGCACGAGAAACTGAAGAACACCGACCAGGAGAAGAGCCGCAAACTGCACGAGCTGACGTACGTCTACCACACAGCAGGGGAATGACAGGATTGAAATGCAGTCATTTTTTATCAACTAGTAATTGTCATTTTCACACACCCTCATTTGTTTTGTTCAGTGTGATGCAGGACAGAAGTGAACAGGCCAGACAAGACCTGAAGGGTCTGGAAGAGACGGTGGTGAGTTGATGTTCAGTGCTAATTTAGAAGAAAATGTTTCCTCTTTCTTGTAGACATTTGGAAGGAAATAAGTGTAATTGTTGTTCCTTCATTTTATTTTAGGCCCGAGAGCTGCAGACGCTTCACAACCTGAGGAAACTGTTTGTTCAAGATCTGGCCACTAGGGTGAAAAAGGTAAGCACATTTCTGGTCAAATTCAACTCGTCTGATGGAGAAGAAGTGTTTTTAGTTTTCTGCTTATTAACATGTTATTGTCGTGATTCTGCAGAGCGCTGAGATGGACTCTGACGACACCGGGGGCAGCGCTGCACAGAAACAGAAGATCTCCTTTCTTGAGAACAATCTTGAGCAGCTCACCAAAGTTCACAAACAGGTAGGAGAGTGGGCTGCTCAGGTGTTCACCTTCATCTCTGATTCCGTTTACAGAGTCATTGCCTCAGTTGCTGTTACACATGGGTTACGGTGTTTAGAAATGTTGCAGTTTGGTGCTGACATGAACGCTGGTCGCTGTGTTGCAGCTGGTGCGTGATAATGCAGACCTGCGCTGTGAGCTTCCAAAACTGGAAAAGCGCCTTCGTGCTACGGCTGAGCGGGTCAAGGCCCTGGAGTCTGCTCTGAAGGAGGCCAAGGAGAACGCCGCCCGTGACCGCAAGCGCTACCAGCAGGAGGTGGACCGCATCAAAGAGGCCGTCAGAGCCAAGAACATGGCCAGGAGGGGCCATTCAGCTCAGATCGGTGAGTGGTGAAAACCACAGCTGCACTTCAGCTCCAGCTGTTGAAGGAGTGACTGTGTTTAAAATGTCAAAAAAGAAATACATGGCTCAAAGTAAAATATAAGGTATATTTTATATATTGGTCTGTCAGACTTCTCTGAGGACTGTAGATATTCACGTAGAGTTCCTGTAGTGTTTATTAAAGACAAATGTTCCTCGTCTCCCCCTCAGCCAAACCCATCCGACCTGGACAGCAGCCGGTGGCGTCTCCCACCCACCCCAACGTCAACCGCAGTGGTGGAAGCTTCTACCAGAACAGTCAGACGGTGTCCATCAGAGGAGGCAGCGGCAAACCAGACAAGAAGTGAGTCCTCGGATGTTAACACTAGAAACACGCCACCTGCTGGAGAGGTTTCCAAACACAAGTGTTTGAAAACCTCTGCCGTGTACTCACTGAGTCCGTTTCATGTTCACTAACATTTCTCTCCTTCTCTCTGTTTTCTCTGCAGCTGAGAAGCAGCAACATGGAAGGATAATACCACAGAACTAGAAGAAGCCAATAACACGCCGACACCCCCATCTCCTCCCCTTCCCCCCTCCCCACCAACCTGTCATTCCATTACCCAGAAACCTAGCTCCTAGTCGCTGCTCTGGAGCCAAGAAGAAGTTTCTGAATTATAAATATATATATATAAATATTCCTGGCCTGTACAGCTCTGCCCACACCCCCACTCTCCTCCCACTTCACCTCCCACTTCACCTCACCTCTCATCCCACACATATCTCACTTTCTCTTACTGGATGTCATAAATTATGGAGAGGGGAAAGAGACAGGTTTAATTTTCCAAAAGTCAAGATAACACAGCTTTTGCTGGGAGAAAACATGGGCTTTTGTTTTTTGTTTTTTATTAATTTAACTTAATTGCACAGTGTCATGGGTCGTCATCATGCCAGTAGTCCTGCACTGTGCCCAGCTGAATGTAACGGTAGAAAAGAATCAGAGGAGGGAAATAAAAAGAGCTGAATTCAGCCGGTGAGATCTCTGTTAACCCTGTAGGCCGGTTACCTCTGTCCATGTCATGATCACGTGATCGCTATCGACAGTCGGTCGGTGACACACACGCCTCTCATATGCTCACCATATGCTTCCATATGTCTAAAACTAGAAAAAAGGCAGTTTGGAATTGACTGGATGGTGTCAAACACTGCTGTTCTGTCTGCTCTTGTTGTACAGATGTAAAAAAAAGAAAGAAAAAGGCACCAGAGCACAGAGAGAACTGGACGGGGAAAAAGAATGATTTAAAAAATGAAATCCCAGGCAGTAGAGGTGTGTACTGTAGATGTATTTAACTAAATACCCGTGGAGGTTGACTGTTTTTATCATTAAGTTAAAATAAACTCTAAACATGTACTTGTTGTCAGTGAGGTGATGAGAAGGAGGTCGAGAATGTAGGAGGAAGGAATCCCGCCAAGTGGAGGAAGAATCCGTTTCTACCTTTCAGCACAGTCATCGCTTCGTAGCTGAGTGTGTCGTTGTTAACCGGCTGGTTAGTCACGCTGTGTCAGTGGAGTCTGGTAGTTCTCTCTGTCTGTGCGAGCACGCTGACCGCAGGCCTTCACACTGGGGCGACGGTGGCGTCCGTCCCGTCCTCGTTCCACTTCTTTTGGACTCAGATTTTTATTTTAAAGCTGCAGTGTGTAACCTTAAAAACATTCACAATTAACTGCGTTTACTGCACAGAGGAAACGTGCGATTCTCAAGATTCAGACCAGCGGAGACATGGAGGAGGCTCAACAGCGCCCTCATGTTTGTTAGCTGTAATAATTGTGTTATTGAGACATGAAAACGTTTTTTGACTTGAAAGACGTTGCACAGTAATTTTTTAAAATTGCGTTAAACACTGCAGCTTTAAATCCAGAAGAAGTGTTTGCTGCCAGCTGTGTCATGATTCTGATTATTTTTCACCAGTGCCCACCCCACCCCCCACCCCGCCCCCCCCCCCCCCAACCCACACCCCCTCACTCTCAGCTGGTGGACCTGTATTTAGCCTCTTCTGCCCCCTGTGGTTGTAAATGTGCAGATGTTGCTGTTGTTGCTGGGATTTCATGTACTGTATCAAATTCCTCCTTCATAGATCATAGAGAAGAGGGGTGGGGGGAGGGGTGTGGCTACTGACAGAGGGGGTGTTTTTGGTTGATGGTCAGACTCTCGCCGCTGATCAACCAATCAGGAGAGCAGGGTCGTAAATGAAAAAATGTATAATTGCACAACGATTCTCTGTCACTGTCTGGAGGAAGGGTTTATTTAAGTCGCACTAGTCAGGGCTGTAGGAGTTACTTTGTGTTCTTTGTCGCTTTATTGTATTTTTTTAGTTTTTTTTTTTTGTCCCCGTCCCCCATTGTTATTCCGGTCGTTTTATTTTTAACTCTGTAGTGCCCCCTGGTGCAGTGGTGGAGATGTGGTGACTGTCGCCCCAGCGTGAAAACACTATCATCTCGTGCAAGTGCAATATACTGTAAAATACACTGAATGTCAGTGGACTGGCAGGAGGTTGGCGGTTTGAATCCTGTCCTTGTCTAACAGATGTGCTCTCTTCGGCTCACAGAAAAACTAAAGGTTTTCCTGTTTTTCCCAAATGTCCATCATAGGGTTTTCTACTCTGACTGAATGAGCAAAAAAAACAAAATCTAAGAGGATTCAAGAACAATCTGTTTAGTCAAGAGGAACTGCTGACTGTTACAAGGACAAGGATCCAGGATTTTTAAACTCCAGGTCTGGGTTGTACGTCCCACATCCCACAAACTGAACACACAGCTGATGTTCAGTCTGAGAAGCTGAAGTCGACTGACACCAGCCTGAGCTACTCAGTCTCAAATTAGATTTAAAAAATAGATTAAGAATTTTTGAAATCTCATAGAACCCTCGGCTGACCCCCGAGCCTCATCTTTACTCTGGTGAGAACAGATTTTCAGAAAAGGCTCAGTGGAAGCTACGACCCAGAGCTGGGATGTCACACCTGCCACCTCTGAACAAGAACGTTGGCTCTGATAGCACTTCTTCACACTGTCTGCACACAGAAAACACACACTCCACACACGACACGCTCTGACTGGAAGTGAAATTTAAAACCAATGTCCTGTAGGTCCTGTAAATGTGTGTGGACAGAGAGTTATAGAGGTAGAAATGTCCATCATAGTCCTGTGAACTGCCGGAGCGGAGACTCCACACACGCCTGTGACAGGGCGGCGTTCAGCGTCTGTTCCCCCTGTGTAATCTAACCTAGATTAGCTCAGCGGCATCGTGGACCTCAGACACGTCCATCCTGTGACCGACACCAAAAACCCGACATCATATGGGGCAATAAAAAGTAATACAATATGGAAAAAAAAATGTTGGTGTTCCTGAATTTTGCATTAATTCTAAAATTTGAAAGACAAGTGTATTCACTTCTTTTTATTACTGTGTAATAGTTGGTCAGTTTTTAAACGAGGACAGTTTTGAGGATCCGTGGTCGGACAAAGGTACTGGATCATTCCTGGAGAACTGGGGCACAAAAGGCAGGGCTTTGATGAGGACGGAGGCGGAGCTTTATGAGATCACAGTTTTTGGATTGACTGCATGATGTAAATGTATGTGTGATTAAATAATTATGACAAAACTCCTAAGATGCTGTCACCTTGTTTGTTCTGGACCCACACCTTTATCACACCATTAGAAATCATACAGGACAAAGTGCTCCGCCTATGGGCAATGCTATGACAATATTATCTTACATAGCTTTATTACATGGCTAATCAGATCACACAAGGCTGAGGATGAGACTAATGATTAGCCAGAGAAAAATATATTTAGTTTTATATGATGAATGCAAATCAACTGAAATTGATCAAAATGTAAACTCAGATTTAAAAACTAAAACTAATTGTTAATTGATTACAGGAAAACGGGAAAAAAATTATATTAATTTTCTTTGAATTAATATGTGCCTAAACTAATTGCTAATGATAAAATTAAAGTGTTCTTTTGTTTGTATGTACATGGTGGAAAAACGTCACATGAAGTTGGTTTAAAAGGACTTTTTCAGTTGTTACCTTGTGACAAACAGTACCTTAATTTAATTATTTCCTCGAGTTTAGGTTAGTTTTTAGTAGTTTGCGTTTCCCAGTCGTTCCACCAGGTGACGGTCATTCCCAGCTCATACCTTCGTAAACACCTGTGGGATCCGGCACGACAGAAAACGGGAGCACTCACTCTTAACTTCTCTAGCTGGTAAGTATCACATAAGTGACAGTTAATACTCAGTTATAATCACGTGAATATGTGCCTGTAAAACGCCCATAAGACGCTAAATTTGTTTTAATACAATAATTAAAGTTTTAACGGGTTAGTAACGTTTTGGATTTTGTTTTCATTGCTTGGAAACTTGATTCATAGCCCTGTGGGTTGACCCACGAGAAAACCGGAAAACGTGTCAGAGTGACTTCAGGAAAACTGTCAGAGTGATACATCGTTTTCACAGACGCTCTTTGTTTAAAGGTAGTTACTGAAGTTGTGAGTAAGTGGGAGAGTGAAGGCGCGGTGACGGTCTCTGAGGCGGATTACTAAACACCGGCGGCCCGGGACGAACCGAGGAGCCGAAGAAACAGCAGCGACGCAGTCAACTTGATAAGTGCCGCCGGAGTTTGACTCTGTGAGGTCACGACAGGACGTTTCCGTTGGGCTTTTGACCAGTTAGCAGACCGGGAGTGTGTTCTTCCTGTCCCGCTTCTGTAGTGAAGGTAGGTGAAGGTGCGGCGCTGGTTGGGACAGGCAGGGAGGCTGTAGCCACACGGCTAACGAGCAGACTAACGTTAGGAAAGAAGGAAACGGGAGAAAACATGACTGGAAATATAACTTCGAAAAAGTTTATAAGCCAAAAATGAATATTTACGTTTACCTTAACCTGTTTTTATTCCGACGTCACCAACGGTAGTTTGTTAAATACTTAAAGTAAAAAAAAAGAAATAAATAAACGTTCAATAAATAATTAGCAAAGATTTCATAGAAACGGTGATGTTCATACTTTGTGTTTACAAACATAAATCTGCCTCACCTCCCCTGCAGGGGGTGCTATGATGGCATTTTCAATGTACCTGATTTTTGGTAAACTGGAGATGTGATGTGTTTTAAGTGGGGCAGTGCATGTGAAGGTCACTGTGTTCTACTGATGTGAAACAGAACTTCAGCAACGTAACATCTTTCCTTTTCAAATATGAATGATAAAACAGAAGGACTGGCAGGTGTGTTCTGCTGACACAGGATAAAACAGGAGGGTGTGTCTCCAACATGTGCCGACGCTGACGGACACTCACTGGGATCAGTGAAGGTTCATGATGTTCAGATGTCGTGATGAAGGCCATAAGGATGGGGTGGTGTAAGGGCAGAAGAGGCAGGATAGAGGGTAGAGGATGGAGGCGGATGATTGGCTGAGGTGACCTTCAAAGAAGAAGGTTATGAAAATACTCAGAATATTTGTGGAGCTGTAGAAGAAGTTTTTTTTGTTTGTTTGTTTTTAACTTTTGTTTTTTACTGAGAGAATATCTACAGAGTTGACATTGGGGACACGGTGAGTCCACCTGTCGTCTGTCTGTGGATTAGACTGAGTCAGTACTGCTGTCAGAATTAAAAGGTCAAAGGTTAATCTGTTGTCTCTATAGCCTCCTTTTTTTTCTTCTTATTCTCTGCTGTGGAATGAGGGTTGTCCTTTAACCAGACTGTTGTCTCTATAGCCTCCTTTTTTTCTTCTTATTCTCTGCTGTGGATTATCATTAGCACGCTGTGACACCTATCTAATCTACTAATTTCCAGCCTCTTTTTCATAGCTAATCTAAATAATAACGCTGCCCTAAAAAGCTGAACAACTGTTTTTCTACATTAATGACCTTGGTAATTTCCAGGACAGTCTTATTTTACCTGATCACAGTCGGAAACTCTGTGGTTCGTCTTTTTTGGAATAAGTCACGTTCTGTGAGCAGCTCCACGTTGGTGTAGTTGATATCAGGCCTGAGGCTCCTTGAAGAAGCTCTTCTCTCTGCTCTTCTACGGCCCTGGTTGTAAATAGACTCTCAGACTGTAATATCCTGCTGCGTCGGGGCTGTTGCTGCTCAGGTTTCCAGCAGATTTTTTTTTTTTTCAGCTTTATGTGCCCTGGGAAATAAAGTGAAACAACTCGATGAGATTATAATTAGTTTGGGAACACGGAGACGTGGTGTGTTTTCTTCAGGGCTACAGTCACTAACTGGATTTCTTTTCTTTTTTTTCTTTGAAAATCGTTCCTGTAATATAATTCTCACAAAAACTACTGTGACAAGAGTTCATGATGAGTCATGAAAAATAAATGTCGGTTTGGTGACGTGACGGTGTAATAAAAACCTTTGAAGTGGTTCAGATCAAACTTGTGTTCTGATCCTCACTGGTCAACACGGATAATATCAGTTAAGAAGAGGAGAATTTCAAAGTTCAGATTGCTCAAGGTGTGTTGTAGCCTCACCTCGTGTTGTAACTCTGAGTGTGTGCGCATGTGTGTGTGTGTGTGACTCCTGCAGGGAAGTATGTGTGTGATTTGACTCATCTCTGCTCTCAGCAGTAACAGCTCAGTCAGAGCTGCAGAGATTCTCAGTGGTGTAAGAGCTCAGGTCATGTGAGGAGCATCATTGTTTCCCTTCCTGTCTTTGATCCTATTGGCTGCTCTGGAGTCATGAATGTCACATCAGCAGAGAAACACGAGGAGAAGTACGACTCCTCCATGCCTCAGTCTGCTCTCCTCTTCTTCAGTGGTGTATCAGAGACTTCTAGAGGATAACCTTTGACCCCCGGTCACAGCTTGCTTCGTTGTGCGGACCAAGGACTACTTCCTTTAAATGTTCTTTGAGGGAAATAATAAAAGAAAAGAGTAAGAGTCAGTTAGAGTTACTCAGTTTGATCACTCCATGTTAAAAATGTCTGATCAAACAGAAGGTTGTTGACTTGATGCCCTGACTGTGTCTCTGTTGACCTGCAGATGGAGCCATGCTAGATAACACTGTCAGCCTGCGGTGAGCTCAGGAGTTTGGACAGACAGGAGGAGTCATGGCAGACCTGCCCATCGCTCCAGGACAGGTCTACATTGAGGTGGAATATGACTACGAGTACACGTCCAAGGACCGCCGCATCAATATCAAACAGGGCGAGTGTTACATGCTGGTCAAGAAGGCCAACGAGGACTGGTGGCAGGTCAGGAAGGAGGACGGGAGTAAACCTTTTTACGTACCAGCTCAGTATGTCCGAGAGGTTCGCAAAGCCCTCATGCCGCCGTCCAAACCTCTTCTCCACCCCCCCGCTGCCAGCAGCAACCCACCACCTCAAGGTGGGGCTGCACTCTGGGTAAGACCCACTACCCTGGATCTCCAGGATCGGCCCGGGGAGAACCTTCAGAGACGTGAGTCGAACACCCGACGATCCCCCTCTGCGCAAACCTCCTCCTCGGGTCACATTAGTCCGCCACCCCATCGCAGGGACAGCACTTCTCGTTACGCCCCAGCCACCCCCACAGACCACGATAAAGCTCTGCACGACATCCTCATACAGGGCGGAGGTCCTCAGCTGGTCCAAAGGTCCAGCACTCTGCCCCGAAACAGAGCTCGATCCCCAGACATGGCCCGGGCGCCGCTGGACGTGGACAGCACCCAACTGTTTGACTCCGCAGAAGAAGAGCGACGCACCAACGACTCGGAGTCGGGAGACGAACTGAGCAGCTCGTCCACCGAGCATCTCCAGGTAAGAACCTAGAACCTGCTTCTTCTGCTTGTGTTAATTGGTTCAGGGCCCCCTACTGGTGGGAATAGAAAACTGTTCTGATTGACAGGTGTCTGTGTAAAAGCTCAGGGACTTTCTTCGTTCACTTTTCTTTTTTTCTCTTGAATTTCTTTCTTCCATCTTTCCTTTGTTGTGACTCATATTCAAGGCGTTTTGTCGTTGACTTATGATTGGATGACGTTAAAGTTAATCCTGGGAAACATTAAGATAACAATATAATGAGCCACGACTTGGATTATGTCGGTGAAGATTATAGCCTGACACTAACCTGTGTGGAAATGTTCATTTTTACGATTTTGTCCTATATTTCTTGTGAATTTTAAATTTAATTTTTTTTTTAGGAATTTTAACTTTAATTATCCTCAGATTTTTGTTGACTTATATTTTACTTTAATTAAAGCGCCTACTCGTGTTATAAATGAAGCGCACGCCACTTAAATCCAAGATGAGTGTTTTTCACAGACGTGTCGTCTGGAAGTCTGTTGGTCAGAGTAACAAGAACAGAAATAGTTTCTTCCCTTCCCTTTCATCTGCCCTTTAGTCAGATGTTATTTTTCCTTTCAGATTTACAGGCTGATAAAACACACACACACACACAGAGTGACGTCAGCGTCATTGGGTCAGACCAGTGTTTTCTAAAGGTCGTCTAAATGTGAGCGTTTAATGTCACGGTGGTACAGTTTCAGTCCACGCCAGTTTCACTTCCTGCCAGTGTTGTTCCTTTGACCTGGTCACAGAGGCAGGATGAAAGGTCAGAGTGGTTGATCCAGTTCTTGGTTCCATACCCGGCACCTGTGTCGTACATAAACACTCTGTGATTTTCCCATGATGCCCGTGAGTCATTTGATTCACTGCTAAAGTTACCACAACAAAGGCTAATTCAGGGCCTGATCATCTGAGTGAGGTAGTGTCCCAGTGTGTCAACAGGAAACAGGTCTCATTCATCTGTGATATGTCCACACACACACACGTCTCTGTGTCAGAAGCTTGTTCTAATCCTGTTCTCAAGACCAAAACACTACGGTTACATCACCATCACTTTCGACCCAGTCCTGTATGTGTGTGTGTGAGTGTGTGTGTACTTTCGACCCAGTTCTGTGTGTGTGTGTGTGAGTGTGTGTGTCCCTAATTTACCCTAGTAAAGAGGAAGAGGAGGCAACATTTAAAAAACTCCTGATGACCATCACCCCTGGGTCTGACTGTGAAGCACCGACACCCCTCCGCCTGACCACCGTCCCATCCTTCTTTATGACGGCAGCAATCAGCTAAAACACTGAGAGAAGGATGATTGATGGAAGGAAGCCCCTCCCCCTTTCACTGATTCCTCAGTGTGGGAGGAAGTTGAAGTAACACGTTCCTGAGACTGGAACGACCATCAGTTCATCAGTTCATTAGGCTGATTGGACGGCCCTGAATGTTAACGTTATTAACTGCTGGCACAGAGGCATCGATGGGTGACAGTTCATGTCCTGAGGAGTTCTGCTCCTCACACCTGTTAGGAAAACAAAAATCATTTGTTGGACGTCGTTGATTGGAATTCAAGAAGAGGAAGTGTGTGTGTGTGGGTCAGAGGTCACTGGCTCTCCAGAGCTCGTCTTAATCCCTGCTTAGATTCAGTCCTGTGTGCAGCTGAGTTTATGACTTTAAAGTAGAGCAGGTCAATCAGGAGAGAGAGAGAGAGAGAGAGGGAGGGAGAAAGCTCTATGATTCTCCCCCTCTCTCTCTCTCCCGGTCTGTTTATGTAAGAATGTGTCAATAACAGTGTGTGTGTGTGTTTTTGTTTGTGTTGGTGAGAGAGACAGACAGGGTCTGGTGGTCCCGTTCTCCCTCAGCCTCAGTGTCATGCCACTTGGGGACAGTCTGTGTGTGTGTGTGTGTATGTGTGTGTAGTCCGTGGTCTCCTCCTCAGCTGAACACTTTTTCCTCCTCGGCGTCCAGAGTGGTCCACAGGACAGTATGTACCCAGATGAGAAGGAGGCGGTAAGGTTGCTTCTTATGTTTTTGTCACCAGTCCACACATCAGGGACGGCTCTCTGTTCAGCTGCATGTGTGTTTCTGCTGAGTCAGCACGACACTGTGTGACGCTGCAGTGAGTCTTGGAAAATGTTTTTAGCAAAACAGTCTTTTAGTAGTTACGGATGAGTGTCATTGTGATGTCATTGGAACTGATTTTATCAATACTTATCAGTTCGTCTACACCTGTGAGCTCCAGTGTGACGCACAGTTCTGAAAACTTCGTCACCTCACAAAGGTTAGCAGTTGTTTTTAGCGTGTTGTGTTAAAGGCGATGCTAACAGCGTCTGCTGCTCCCTGCGTGCCGTTGTCTTTCTCTTCCTGCCTGATCTCCAGCTTCTGTCCACCCGCTGAGATCAGACATGTGTCTGGTCTGTGGGCTCGGCTCCAGTGATTAGTGGCTGCAGTGCTAACAGTTAGTAACGATGATTAGCTTCATGTAGCAAACGTTCACTTTGACTCACCGACAGAACAGATGGAGAGCTCTGCCCTGCCTCGCCACCGTTTATTACATAAGAGCACGGCTGCATGTCATTTGTTTGGACAGCTGGTGATGAGACCAGCTCAGGGCAGCAGAGGATGATGGGAGATGGACATGGAGAGACAGACGCAGGACCGTTTGTTAGGACGAAGAGGACGTGGAGAGACAGACGCAGGACCGTTTGTTTTTTGTACTAATTTTCTCCATGTTCCACACACACACAGAAACACACACACACACTATCATTTCTCACAAAGAAAACACTGCTTCTCTCTGACCCCCCCCCCACACACACACACACCCCCCACCCCCCTCCCGAGTCAGAGTGGATAAATAAACACGAGCCTGTGTCCAGTCTCATCCACACTTCTGTTAGTGTCTGACAGCAGAGTGAATGTGTTTAAATCAGCAGCTGTTCTGACCTGTGAGTCGTGACTTGTTGTTGTGTTTGGTGAAAACATCATTTCTTTTTTTGTGTTTTTTGTGTTTTTTTTGTAAAGGACAGGAATTTGTCTGACTTCCTGTCCATTTCCTACTCTGTCCCACATGAATATAAATGCTGAGCAGCAGATTTGGAGCCAGTCAAATTAAACTCACGTGGACAAAGACCTGATATAAAGAATATCCGTACAGTATCGTGACAGGAAATATCGTGATATTTCAATGTATCGATATATATTTTTTTCGTCCAGTCCTAGTAGATTCAATAATGAACCTCCTCAGTTTGGAGACAGAGTTTCTCAGAGTGTAAATAAAATGTTGATTCTTTGATCCCACTCCTCTGTGATCAGCGTTGAAGTAAATCTGTTGAAGAACTGTTACGTCATGTGGAACTGTTGTTTCTCAGCTTTGTAGAAGATGCTGCTTCAACGACTGCTCGGGTCTAAGTAGGTCAGTGCCTCGTGAGGAGATGACTTTTCTTAATCCTTTCACCCGACCCACAGTGTTGTTACAGTCGAGCTGCCCTCGGCCGGGGCAAATGTCAGAGGGTAAAGGAAACCCTGTGTGTGATGTGTTGGTATTGACTGGTGGTGGAGCTGTGACTGGGTGATCGATGTCTGGTTAGAAGCTGCAGAGGCTGATGGCTTCATGGGTTCTCCATTATATACTGTACCGTCCTCCTGTGTGTTTGTTCTGTGGAGAGGCCGGGGTCAGAAGGTCAGAGGTGCAGGGGTAAAGAAGCTGCCCTCCATGATGTCTGCGAGAAACCACTTATTTTCTAAAATAAGATACGACGCCAATCAAGTTATATATAGTATTTAATTCTTTTTTTTTCTCTGCTGCCCAGAACCAAATTTCTCATGGCTGTGTTCTGGTCCAGGGCCCCTGTGGTTGAGCACCATTGCCCTACAGGGCATTTCAGCTTCACCAAAATGTTGCAACATCTGAGGGCGGGGGTGAGTGGGAGGGGCCGTTTGTCCAGGTGTAATCTGGGTCTTTTCACCAGCCTCCAGGTTTCCTTTTCCTCCAATCATGAATTACCTGAGTGAGACATGTTCAGGCCAATCATCCGTCTGATTGATTCACTCAGCCCTGAACGACTCACCTGCAAGTTCAGACCCACACAGGTCTGCCCCCTGCTGCAGCTCTGAGTCCTCGACTCCTTGAATATTTCTACAGATTTCAGGGGGAACTGAGTTAAAATGATTTTTCTCACTGACTGTGACTGAACACGTTAGAAGCCGAGGCTCAGAGTCACGTCGGGGAATCATCTCTGCTCAGGTCTCTGTCTCTCCCCTCCTGTGGGAGAGAGGCTTCTCCTAACTGCTCCTGTTGGAGCTGTGCCCCAGGACAATTCCACTCCAGATTAAATAAGGAGATTATTTTAGGTCGGCTCTTCCACTTCCTTCTCCATTCTCCTCTACTTCTTGATCTAAGGCCCTGTTTCCACGCTGAACATACGATCTGATACAGATCCTGCACAAACAAAATCCGTACTGAATATGAGTCCAGTGATGTGGTTTTTCTGTACTTCTGTCTAAAATGAACTTATTTCCCACAGAGGAAACTGAACTCCTCTGCTCTGGTCAGACTGGTTTTACTGCCGCAGGTTTGTTTTTTCTGTTTTTTTCTTGCCTTTTCCAGATTTGTTTTGAAGCTGCAGACACCATGATGCACACTTGACTAGAAATACAGGTTTGGGTCCAGTTGGTCTGAGTAGAAACATACCAGGAGAAACCCTCCAGCACAAGCAAACTGTTGTCACTGGAAAAAGTCTAAAAAACGTCTACTGGAGGTTCAGTCACAGGAAGCACTGCTCCTGCCTGTGTCTTCCTCATACCTGCCCTCCTCCTCCTCCTCATCATCATCATCCATAAACTAGTGTTCTGTTGAGACATGTGGTTCTGTGAGGAGACCAGGAGACGTGGCGTCCTCGGCGTAGTTGAAGAATTTGAAAAGTACGAGCCAATGTCTTTCTCTCTTCACCGCATTCTTCCAGGTGGAGCAGAGACACGTCAGTACACGACACTGACGGGATGATACTGGTCTACATATGATACCGGGTCTCTCCAGTCTGAGCCTGTGGTTGTTTTTTATACAGCCGTGACGGACAACGGCGGTGTTTAAGTATGGAAAAAAACTGAAGCGGACAGTTGTTGTCAGCAGCCCCAGGTCAAAGGTCAATCCAGAGATTTCACCACACATGGTAAATAACAAATGAGGTCTTCAGTTTTCCTCTAAATAGGATCATAACTTACTGTGGCAGTCTTGAAGACCTGGGTCCAGTATTTCAGATCATCTTAAATGTTGACTGAATTTATTCTGCGTCTGTGTTCGGGTTACACATGCACCAAAGAAAAGAGAAATGAGAAGAGAAGCTCATTTAGTCTGTGAATGAACATCAGACAGAGTCCGACTGAAGGAACGGTCCTCTGTTCTCTGTTCTTCACTGAGGCCCCGTCTGTAGTAATGTGATCTGACAACATTACACACTCCTGTCTTGAACTCTGGTTCCCTGCAGATCTTTCTCTGTGACAACTGAAGCTGATTCAGTTCATTTTATCATCAACACCAGTAAAGTCGTCTGAGTTCAGCTGCGTGAAACGATCTTCACACTTTTTATATTAGATGAAGTTCAGACGGACGCAAAAAGTAAGCTTAGCACTTCCCGTGTTTCTGTTTCGACCAGCTGCTGTCACGCCTCACACCTGCTATCACGACTTTGGTGCCACATCCACCTGTCACTGCTCCACCTGCAGGCCACTCCAGTCACCAGTCTCAGTGTTTCATCAACATCAGGTTAAACTGTTAGTTTAGCTTCATCATCTTTATATATTTTCCTAATATTTTTTTCTTAGAAGACATAGAATATTTTTAATATTTTTTTATCAGATCAACACTGTCAGGTTTATCATTATCTTTGATCTGACACAGATTAGAAAAGTGCTAGCAGATTAGCCAGTGCTAGCTCCTAGGAAAAGTGCAAAGAACCATATATAGATAGATAGATACTCTGTAGGTGTGTGTGTGTGTGTGTGTGTGAACCAGTACGTGTTTGTTTAGTCCAATTATAAAGGTTGGGAACCCGTGTGCATGTGTGTGTGTTTTGTGTTAGCCTGGCTCAGCTCCCTGTGGTATGTAGCAGAGCAGGTTAATCTGTGCCAAAGAGAAAATAGGGAGGAGAGGAGGTGAACATGCCTGGCTCCTCCTCCTCCTCCTCCTCTAACCTCCGCTGCGAAACTTTTCAACCTTGTCGTCAGACTGCCACCTGTAGGTCAGAGCTGAGGATTATTCTCTGTTGTTTCTGCAGTTTGATAAATATTAACCGAGGTCACATTAGTATGCTAACCTTTAGTGTAACGTCTACTGCCTACGGAAAAAGGAATGAAGACATTGTAGGCAACATTTAGTGATCCTTCAGAAAACGTTGTCAGTTTTACTTCCTTATTTCTGTCAGTTGTCACTCCCTCTCCTCTATAACAGCAGCACTGATTCTCTTCCTCCTCTCTGCTCCTCTCTGCTGAACTGTGCTGATGTTGGATTTGACGTTTCCTTTCTTCAGAAACTGCTGTGCACAAACACAGCTGTCAACGTCGTCCATCACTTTCTCAGCCATCAGGTTCCCAAAATGACATGTGACAGTGTGGAGTTTATTATCTGAGGTTCATTTGAAGCAGTTGTCACTGGGCTGTAACAACATATACACAGTTTCAGATACCGTATCGATATCCTCCATCAGTTATTGATTTTTTTTTTTACCTTAACACTGAGTCTGTTTTCTTTCTTCTCTCTTTCTTCCTCCTCCAGACGGTCTCCTCGTCAGGTCAGGGCTGCCCAGAGTCACCCGTCTACACCAACCTGCAGGAGCTGAAGATCAGTCAGGCCAGCTTGCCTCCACAGCCCTCAGGTTCTCCTCTACATGTTCTGGGTGACTGGGAGATGCACAGAGACCAGAGCGGCAGACACTTCTACTACAACCGCTCCACCCAAGAGAGAACCTGGAAACCGCCCCGAGCCAGAGACGCCAGCAGCCTAAACTCCAGAGGAGAGAACCACAGCGCAGGAGAGAGTTCTGAGGTTAGAGACATGAAGTATGCACACGGTTCTTCTCATTCACATCTGGCCAGGCTTAGTCATCTTAGTTGTTCACTTAATCTTGTGTGTATCTTCTTGGCTAACAGTTAACAATTACTACTACAAAATTCGTAGCCATAAAAGCTAAACCTCTGTTGGGTAATTTACTCAGACATTTGCTAAAAGCTAACATTTTGATAATAGTGTTTAGCTCCTCTGACAATTTCATGTCAAACACTTCCAGGCGCTAGCTCAGCTACTGTTTAGCCACTGTAGTTTCTGGTTTCTGTCATTTTTTAAACCTTAATGTTTTCACACCAAAAGATAAAAGCTGAAACCATTAGCATCACTGCGTTGAGCTGAGTCATAGATTAGCATTTGCCTGGCAGTGATGTCTGTAATATATCTGACCTGACGCTAACAGTTTTCAGCACACCACGTTTAACTGAGTGGACGTATTGTCCTACTGTGAGTGTCAGCCAAAATTAGCCGACTTGGCAAAACGTTTGTAAAGTCACTCTGAGCTCAGAATAGGTTTAAATATGAAGAGTTGCAGGAACGCAGACCCAGTTTCTCAGAGTAGAGGAGCTGAGGCGTCAGGAGCCAGAGAAGACAGAGAGATTTGTGAAAGGAGATGACCAGAGCTGATGACCAGAGCTGTGTCCACTGTCCAGACTGGACTGAAGACATGGAGACATTCACCAGGATGTGGACTCTTATTAATTAATAATGAAAATCCTGTCACAAGGCTCAAAAAACCCACGTCAGTCCGAATCATGAAACTGTTTGACTCTGTAAACGTCTGCCCCACACTGACACCTACAGGTGAAGTCAGGTTACTCTCAGTGGGGTGGTTGGTGTCTGCTCTGCTGCTCCACTGTCTTCATCATCATCTTCATCATCATGGTGACAGATGTCCTCTCTCTCTTCATTATCCTGTCTCTCTGTCTACTAACACATCTGCTGTAGACCACTCCTCTCTCGCTCTCTCCTTCCATCCTCCCCTTCCTTTCGCGCTCTATCGGGGGACTCCAGCCTCTGTCCTCGGAGGACACCTGTCTCAGCAGCACCTACTGCAGCCACTCCGACAGTCAGTACGACTCGTCTCCACGCGGCTGGTCGGAGGAGCTGGACCAGTACGGCCACACCCTGTACGTCAGCGACTTTACCAACGAGAAGGTAAAGTCTGCTGTCTCTCCTGTCTCTGCTGTCTCTGCTGTCTCTGCATTCTCCTGTCTCTGCTCTGGTGAATTGTCTTTTCATGTTCTGTGTCCACTGACCCTGAAGACACGTTCTCAACAACACGTCCTCTACACCTGGTCCTGCTCTAACAAACATGGAGCTGAGAGTGATGAACATTGATTTATTTTTTTAACATGTTCTGTTAGCACCCCCTGTAGACACAGGGAAGTCACTGCACCTTTGACAAATATTCAGTTTTTTTCTGTGTGTGTGTGTGTGTGTGTCTGTCCAGCAGTGGTTGAAACACGTTGATGAGCAGGGTCGACCTTATTACTACAGTGCCGACGGCTCCAGGTCAGAATGGGAGCTGCCAAAGGTAAAAGTTGTTTGAGTTCTGTCCTGTCATTCACTCTGAATGAAGTCTGTTTCTAAATCCCCCGTCTCCCTCCCCCCACTCCCCCTCTCCCCACATACACACACACACACACAGTACAACGTCTCCCCACCCCAGCTTTCAGGAGACATTTCCAAAACCCGCAGCCTGGACAGGAAACACATGGAGCCCATTGTCCTGACCAAGTGGAGACACAGCGCCCACTTCCAGGAGCCCACAGAGAAGGTGTGACCCCCATCAGACGTTAGCGACAGTTATCATATGCTGGTCATGGCTCACAGCTACTGTCACATGTTCACCAACACCTTCAGCTGTACGTCTGTTACGTTGCAGCGCCTGTTAAAATCCAGACGTGTCCGTGCGGCCTCATTACGCCTGCACCCGTACAGGCAGAGAGTCAGTAGTCCGTCCCCTGACCAATCACCTCCCTGTCCCGTCACATGACCAGATGTGATCATCACAGTCCTGTCTTCATCATCTTCTCTGCATGATCCTATGACTTGATTGAACTTGTATTTAATTTTCAACTTCAAAACGGAGACTTAATCATTTAGCCAAGCTTTAAAGCTGGGGTAGGTCATTTATTATAATCACTGAATAACCACAGAGCATGGGGGAAGTTCACTTCTTCTCCAGGGAAAATTGTCACCTCATCTGATCTTTGTGCTGAGTAGAAGTCGGAATAAGGAAGAGAAATTCTGACCAATCACAAACCAGCTGGCAGAGACTGATTGGCTATTCTTTATGTCCTTACATAAAACTGAAAAACAGCCAGTGATATCAGTCCTGTCTCTTAATCCGAACTGTATTCCCATTGTTATTC